CGGTTGGAAGAGTTGGGGATGGGGGGCACCGTATTACGGTGGTTCTCCTCCTTTCTCTCCGACCGGTCGCAGTTCGTGTTGGCAGGGGGGCAGAGGTCGACCTCAAGGCCTCTTATATGTGGAGTGCCTCAGGGGTCGGTCCTCTCGCCCCTCCTGTTCAACATTTATGTGAAGCCGCTGGGCGAGATAATCCGTGGCTTTGGGGTGAGATACCACCAGTACGCTGATGATACCCAGCTATACATCTCCACCCCAGGCCACCCCAACGATGCCCTTGAAGTGATGTCCCAGTGCCTGGAGGCTGTGCGGATCTGGATGGGGAGGAACAGGCTCAGGCTCAACCCTTCCAAGACTGAGTGGCTGTGGCTCCCAGCATCCCGATATAGTCAGTTGACTCCATCACTGACTATTGGGGGCGAGTCGTTGGCCCCCACAGAGAGGGCTCACAATCTGGGAGTCCTCCTGGATAGGCAGCTGTCCTTGGAGGAACATCTGACGGCTGTAACCAGGGGGACCTTTTGTCAGGTACGCCTGATCCGCCAGTTGCGGCCCTTTCTTGATCGGGATTCCCTGTGCACAGTCACTCATGCCCTCGTCACCTCTCGCCTTGACTACTGCAACGCTCTCTACATGGGGCTCCCCTTGAGGAGCACCCGGAGGCTCCAACTGGTCCAGAATGCAGCAGCGCGGGTAGTGACGGGAGCAGCCTGGCGCTCCCATGTAACACCGCTCCTGCGCGAGCTGCACTGGCTCCCAGTGGTCTTCCGGGTGCGCTTCAAGGTGTTGGTTATCACCTTTAAAGCGCTCCATGGCATAGGGCCTAGCTATCTTCGAGACCGCCTGCTGCCACCGACGACCTCCCATCGACCCGTGCGCTCCCACAGAGAGGGCCTCCTCGGGGTGCCATCAGCCAAACAGTGCAGGCTGGTGACCCCCAGGGGGAGGGCCTTCTCTGTGGGGGCACCTACCCTCTGGAATCAATTGCCTCCAGAGATAAGGAGAATCCAAGACCTCGGTGCCTTCCCCCGTGCCCTTAAAACCTTCCTTTTCCAGCAAGCCGGGCTGGCCTAATTTTTTTAAGTGTTTTGTTTATTGTTTTTAATCAATGGGGCCAAATTTATATATGTATATTTTGACTGTATTTTAATATTTGTATTTGATGTTTTTACTTGGCTGTTCACCGCCCTGAGTCCTCAGGGAGAAGGGCGGTATACAAATTCGAAAAAAAAACAAAAAACTTAGAGCTAAGGAGAAATTTCCTGACAGAACAATTAATCAGTGGAACAACTTGTGAATTCTCCAACACTGGAAGTTTTTAAGAAGAAATTGGACAACCATTTTCCTGAGATGGTATAGTCCAGGAGGTTGGACTAGAAGACCTCCAAGGTCCTTTCCAACTCTGTTATTCTATTCTAATGTCTGGGCATTCAGCGTTCAGGGGTGTGAAGGTAATTCGCCTCCTTGTGGTGCATCCTGGATAGCGTAACAGTGTGAACTAAACTAACTAGCAACTTCTGGCAGCCAAATTACTCTGTTGACCAGCCCTCGATTTCATTGAGGGCTGAAGCAGGGTTGTGTTTGACCTTGGGGGACTGGGGTGGGTGTGGCCAGGGTGGGCATGGTCAGCTTGATTGTCACTAGTGTCAGGGACGCCCAAGCACTCTGACAGTGAAAACGGGCTCCTGAGCCCTCTTTTTGGCTGCAACAGCCTCCTGCAAACCTCTGCCAGCAAAATGAAATTCGGGAGGGCCATGGGTGGCCCTCCGAGCTCCATTTTCACTGGCAGAGGCACCGCGGGCTGGTCCTTCACTATTTCCAGGACAGCCCCACAGGCCAGATCTAAGCACCCCACAGGCCGGATCCGGTACCTGGGCCTTGAGTTTGACACCCCTGTTGTAGACTATCCTGGCTCTGAAATATATTAAACTCTGTTTTGCCATGATTATAGTAGAGTCTGCAGATGGATCAGTAACACACCTGGATGTATGTCTAGGAGGATCTCACTGTTGTAGTCCACCAGCAGCCTGTGGAGCTAGCAGCGGAGTCAGACAGTAAGGAGGCTGGGAAGGAACATGAGTCAGTCCTGGAGCCTGGGAAAGGCTCGGACAAGGGCTCTGTGTCAGAGGCAGAAATGGGGCCAGGGCCATCTGGGAGTTATACGCGGACTCCAGAGCCTCCAGAATTGGACATCAGAGAGGCAGAGGAACAGGAGGAGCCTGTTTCTAGTGCATGCATGCACAGAGCTGCCAGAAGGCAAAAACGATTAAAACAAAAGGGACGACTCAGGAGTAAGGCCTGGAGATGATTGGCCCCTCCCATAAGGCTTAAAAGAAAAGCGAAGGCAGGTGGGCCCTTTGCAGGAAAACAACGTTGTTAATTCTGTTCCCAGTCGGCATCTGTTTGATTCTGGACTCCGTGTGGCTTTGCCGAGTAGGTCTTTGGCAGCGTGTCATGGGAGATAAAGGTTGGTGATAATCCCGAAGGACTTTTTGGAACTAATTGGGACTCAGCTGTGAATTAATGTAATTCACAGCTGTTGCAATAAGAGGTTTTTGGGATTACTCGTGTGTTTTAATGACTCTGTAAGCCTAGGTCACAACACTCACCATCAAATAGGAGGAGCTGAGCTTTATGTGTTTGTTAGAACACCCTATGTGTTATGTTGTAAAAATGTTAAGAGAAAAGAACTATTTTCCCTTTTTGTAGTACTCCCTAGGGCTGTGGAGGTCATCCAGATTTGGAGGGCGGAACATGATTCAAAACACAAGTGGATAATCCATAGCACCATTATTTTATATAGAATAAAACAAGCTGAATTTGGAAAAAGGATAGAAACAGCCTAAAATGCCAGCAATGTATGATTCACCTCTTACACCCTTTCAACATTCCAGTTTGTGTGAGCACCAAAATCTGCATGGATAATTTTGCTGTTCTTCTTGCCTTATCTCAAAAGTAAAAAAGGGAACCATGGGTCAAAAGCCAAAAAATAAATCACCATAAAGGTTGTTCCCTTGAAGACTGAACTCTCTGGCTCTTCAAGAAATTATGAAGACATTCTCTTTTACATTTCAGCCTATTGTGAAAATTAGCAGCACTAACTAAAATAGAGTGTTCTGGGAAAAGCTTTCATATATCACAGATAATTGTGAGATGTCACAATCAAACCGAGACACCATGTCCTATCCCTGTAGGAAACTCATAGCCTTTTCACAGAGAAATATAAGTGGAAACAGCAGGAATGTCATCATAATAAAACTAAAAGGAATACTTGAACTGAAAGATCTATAGGTCATAGTCGATATAAAATCTATACAAAACCTTATTTCTGTAAACAGCCTGATAAACAGACAAAAACAGTGTCTGCTTTATATTGCATTTTATATTTGCATATAATTTGAAATGTGATTATTAAAACGATATATATCAGCCGAAGATATATATGCTTTCTTAAAATAGAATAGAATAAAATAGAATTCTTTATTGGCCAAGGTTGATTGGACACACAAGGAATTTGTCTTTGGTGCATATGCTCTCAGTGTACATAAGAAGACAAGATACACTCCAGTAGTGGGTTTCAAAAACTTTTACTACCGGTTCTGTGGGTGTGGCTTGGTGGGCTTGGCAGGGGAAGGATACTGTAAAATCTCCATTCCCTCCCCAATCCAGGGGAAGATTACTGCAAAAATCCTCATTTCCTCCTGATCAGCTGGGACTCGGGAGGGAGAGAATAGATGGGGGATGAGGGCGGGGTCAGTCAGAGGTGGTATTTACAGTTCTCCAAACTACTCAAAATTTCCGCTACCAGTTCTCCAGAACTGGTCAGAACCTGCTGAAACCCAGCTCTGATACACTCGTCAAGAATCATAGGACACAACACCCAGTGACAGTCATAAGGTACAATAAGAAATCAAATCATACCAGGAAACAATATCAATATAAATCGCAAGGATACAAGCAACAAAGTTACAGTCATGCAGTCACAAGTGGGAGGAGATGGGTGATAGGAACGATGAGAAGATTAATAGAAATGCAGCCTAATGTGAATAGTTTGACAGTGTTGAGGGAATTATTTGTTTAGCAGAGTGATGGCGTTTGGGAAAAAACTCCTTGTGTCTAGTTGTTCTGGTGCGCAGTGCTCTGTAGCGTCGTTTTGAGAGTAGGAGTTGAAACAATTTATGTCCAGGATGCAAGGAGTCTGTAAAGGACCATCCTTTTTTAAAAAAGTTATGTAAAAGGAGCAAAGCTGGTATTTTTTTCAAACTGGAGATCAAATGTAGTTCTCTAACCAAAACTTGTATTTTTCCTTTATAAAATCAGAACTATAATTAGGGGTTTAATACATCCACTGAAAATTTTTGAAGTTGATAAAAATTGCTTATGTTGATAAAAATTCAAACACAAAATTGTGCTTCTAAGTAGCAGTAAATTGAGCGAAAGTTATCTACCTTTGTATAAAATGTACAAAAATGTTTATATAATAGATGTAGAAACAAAAAAGGCCATTAAAAAAAACCTTAACAGAATGGTAAACCTACTGTAAGCTTTAAAAAAATCCATAAAAATAGAAGAAATTCTATTCTGTTGTTCTGTAATAGAACAAATGAAGATTTAGAAAACAGAACATCTGAAAAGAAAGTAAAACTAAGAAACTAGTGTGCACTCATGGTAAATTTTCAGCATTTCATATTAATAAAATTAAAATTAGACTAAAATTAGCCAGGTTATATTATTAGAGCAAAATTATTTATGCAGACAAGATTCAAAAATAGTTTTATAAATTATGCTGTTGCTAAACGTTTTCTGTTGATGTCTAGTTTTCTTTTGCTTTTAAAACCAACTCTCCCTTTTCCTGTTTGATTCATAATATACTATGTTTAAAAATGGGATTGTGGCTATCATGTTTAATGTGAACACAAGGCAGGATCTCCCATACAAGTTTTTGTTACTGAAAACATCCAAATGAACGAAGTATTTAATATACTTAAAAGAAACAACGGATATTTCATTTTATATATATTTTATTTCAAAAAGGAGTCAAAGAAATGTTTTAAGAATACCTATATTCTTCCTTTTTACACTTTTTATTATTAACATTTACAAAAAACATTCAAACACTGAGGAAAAATTAAATAATTTTAGAAGCAGAACCCCTTTTGTTTTCTGCCTACATACACACAACAATTCTGAGCTGCTGACACAATCCCCCCCACATTCATAAAACCCTTAACAACTATTGTCAAACATAAATTAAGTAAATCATAGGCACTAGTTTATCATATTCATGTTTCCACACTTCAATATACCCAAACCTCTAAAACACAGAAAGTCATAGGATGTCATGGCAATCAAATAAACTGACAATGTGAAAGTCTCCTCTAAGTATCCCTTTTCCAGGAATCTAAATTTGCTGGATGTTTATTGCAATGTGGCGGCAGGGGGGACGATGCCCTTAAAACTTGATGCATTATCGAAGTAATGCAAGGATGAGCTTCATGGAAAACACATTTATAAATCAAGGTGATGTAGCTTGGTTAAAAAAGGCAACATCTGGATGTTTGAAGAAAATATTCAGTTTTTTTTCTTTTTTGTAGTAAAAGTAGAAATGAGAATGTTCCCACTTATAAAGACTGCTTTGCTAGAGCCCCATTTTAAAAATTAGGCTAGGTAAAAGTTACCTAAAAAATATTTAGATCTCTCATGTTTTCTGTTCGGCGCTTTAAATAGGCTGGACTAACAGTGCAACACAGCTCTGTTAGCTGCTCTTCCTACAATGATTGGCTACCCTGATTTAAGAAGACAATCCCAGTTCAATTCTTCTTGTTCTGACTTGACTGTAAATTAGGATGTGTTGATAGTAACGTTCCCAGTTAAAGGAAACTCACTTCCCACACTGTGCTTGTGACTCACAGAAGTGCAAGTCATTCCACTAGGCAAAGCGGCAAGGTGAGCATGGACTCTGCAAAAATCTCCATGATGCCCATGTCTTATCTTATTTGCAGATGATCATTTACGTCTGAAAGACCTATGTTGTGCCTTCAGAACCCAGCATCTAAAGATCCCAGAATCCCATCCCTTACACAAGACCACAGAAGGGCCATTCCTTTAAATTTTAAAAAAAGAAAAGAAAAAAAAAAAAGAAAAATTGCCTGAGTGCTGGAACAGATGTCTAGTCCTATCCTGCCTTGGTCACATTTCCAATTCAAGTAAAAATTGCATGGCTTTTAATCCACTAATCTAGGAAGGCTACCTAAATAATCAAAGATCGGAATCCCCAAACCACTTAACTCTTCTTTTTTCTTTTTTTTTGTAAAATTCAAAAGCACGCATTTTAAGAGGCAGGCATGAATGAGGTTTTCAAGCTGCAAACAGAACATGTTTGGATGTTCAGTCCTTATCAAACTGGTATCCTAGCTAAAACCTTTTTTTTTTTTTAAGCTCAGTACTTTAGACAGCAAAAGGAAATGTCATTCTAAGAGACTGCCTTTTCTTTCCTTAAAAAGAAAAATAATTCTTGCAACCGACTTACTCCGAGTTTCTTTCTGGTAAGTAGCTTACCTTCCGTCTTCCACTCCAACATACAAGCAACTGAAAAGGGGAGCTGCAATCGATGGGGCTTTGGGTAGTAGTATTTTTCTACCGCGTGAGGGGATACCCTGACAATAAGGACCGGCAAAATAGCGAAAAGCTGACAACTGTTAGAGGAACAAACCACTTTGTAAACATACGTGGCAGAGTTTTCTTTTCTTTTCCAAACTGTTACCAACAATGCAAAATACAAATATAAGGCAAAGTACATAGTTAAAATATTAATAGGGGCAATAACCTCAGTGGAAGTATTTACAATTTTAAACGCACCTCTAGGAAGCTGATCTTTTTTTAAAAAAAAAGAAGAAGAAAAAGAAAGAAGACTCCCTCATACCATGAAACATTACCCACATGAATAAAGCATTTGGTATCAGCAGAACAACTGATTTACTTAGAACCTCTGGACAAGAGCTGCATAGTTGTTTTTCCCTTCATGTTAACTACAGGCCTGCTCAGTTGCACTCCAAGCATTAAGCACGCGGCGATATTTCTTCATCCATTCTCTTCCTTTCTCTTTCCAGGAAAGCTTGCTCTAAAAAAAGGACTCATACATTTAAAAAAGATCGCTGAAAAAGAGAGGGGGGGGAAGAAAGAAAGAAAGAAAGAAAAAGAAAGAAAGAAAGAAAGAAAGAAAGAAAGAAAGAAAGAAAGAAAGGGCTATTTTCCTGAGCCAGGAACAGCTAGTTTTGGGATTGTACAACTGAAAACGAGCCCTTTTGGCAATCGTAGCATTATACAAAAACCTGATATGACAAGTCAACATAAAAAAAGAAATGCGACCTATGCTTATCGAGTCTCAGAGGCCTAGGTTTGTTTTAAAAGAAAAAAATATGGTACGGACTCGCCTACCGCTCCCATAGTGAGACTCCAGAGACAAGGTTCTGTTGTGACTCGGTTTCTCCACGCACCTCTTCCACAATGGTCTCAAACAATCTCACCTAGCCCAGTAGCATTTTTTTTACAATCCAATTTTCGCTTTGATCAACATCAATATTTCTCTTCTACGTGTTAAAAAAGAAAGCCTTGCTCTTTAAAATCCACTAACATGTGAGCTTTCAAGAATTATTATTTTTGCTTAACATTTTTACGTGCTGCTTTTTTTCCAAAATGGATGTATCTTTGGCATATTAAGATATCTGCCCTGGATTGAATCCATGTGGGCTGTTTTAGCCATGTGAGAGCATTGATAACAATTTTAGGAAGCAAGGGAAGCAGAGCTTCAGAAATGATACGTGATTCACGTAAAAATGATTTTGAGTGATCACCAAGTATCTGATGTTAATGTCATTAAAGTGCTGTTTTATAATCTCTGCCAGCTTGTGCTAATTAAAGACAGAGAGATCTGGAGAGTTTCAACCCCTCCGTCCCAAAGTATTTTCCATCAGTCTGCATGTTGATTTAGCCTGGTTTAGCCTGGTGAAGACGGGCGTGCTGAGTTAACAAAAAGCTTTGCTGTTCAGTAGCAGCCATCCTTCCAGCTCTCGTCTTTTGCGCTGCTGTACGTTTTGGGAGTTGGCAGAGATCTGAAACAGAGAAAATGAGATTCATCAGAAAGTTTCTCCCAGACATTCTGGTTCATTATAGCCTATTTGTCTATTTTTTTTTTCTTTTGATGTAAAGAAAAAAAATGAAAATCATCAAAGATTCTGTACTGCTTATCTCCTAATGCCAACAAACTTTAATAATATTCCACAGTGCCTTTTCTTAATTCCTCCTTTCGGTCCCTTAATTATTCCAGTAGTCTGGCACATGGAGATGGCACACGTACATCTGCCTTATGCCCCTTATTGTATAATAATTTTTGAATTACTCTTTAAATTTAAATGATGTGCCTTGTTGGCGCAGCAGACTAAAGTGCTGTTAAATAGCACCAGCTGCCTGCAATTACTGCAAGTTCAAATCTCACCAGGCTCAAGGTTGACTCGGCCTTCCATCCTTTCGAGGTAGGTAAAATGAGGACCCGGATTGTGGGGGCAATAAGCTGACTTTGTATAAAAAAGAACACCGCTTAGGGGGCCCCGAAAGCCCTACTAAGCAGGTATATACAAAAGTATGAAGGCTATTGCTTAACGCATTGAAAGCCGCCCTGAGTCTCCGGAGAAGGGCGGCATATAAATCGAACCAATAAATAAATAAATAAATTTAGCAGCTATTTAAATTTTGCCATTTTGAGATTAGCTCTGTGCTTCCTTTCTTGCTTTCAGGGTTGACTTCTGTGTACATACAGAGCCCTCAAACGCACAGCTGCTTTGCCATGCTACCCCTACAGTCTTCCCTCAAGTTGTATCTTGAACATAGCCATGTTGTGCTACTATTTGTAATTTCTCCTAGCAACACAATAAGGCCAGCAATTGGTGGGTTTCTTTCTGGCTAAAATTTAAGGGTCCTGAACTGTGGAAAAGCCACTACCTATCACCATACAGAATGTGGCTGGAATTGTGCCTGTTAGGGTCAGGAATTCCATTCCATCCACTTTTTCCCCTAAAGGAATCACTAGATGGCAGCAAAAGAGCAAAAATTGTGCAGATCCACAGCAGCTGCTGCCAAGTGCTTTTCCACAGAAGAGTTTAGATCCGTGATAGCGAACCCATGGCACAGGTGGCACACAGCGCCCTCTCTGTGGGCATGCGAGCCGTCGCCCCAGTTCAGCTCTGCTGTGCATGTGCACGCGCCTCCCACCGGCTAGCTGGTCGTCGGGTCTCTGCTGCATTTAACATTGAATTCTGTGGCAGAGAGGATGCTAATTTTTCTCCGTCCATTCAGAACAGAGCTGCTGCTCCCTTTGTGGTTCCCTCCTGGCCCCCTCCCTCCTGGGGGCTACCTTAAAGGGACAGGCTGCAGCAATCGGTTCTGAATGGAGGGAGAAAAGTTAGCATTGTCCCTGCTGCATTTAACATTGAATTCTGTGGAATATCAAGCGTCCAGAAGAGGTGAGCGGCGAACGGCCGGGTGTGGGTGGGGCCAAGGAGGGGTAATTACTACCGGTTCGGCGAACTGATGCCAATAATCCCTAGCAGTTCATCCGAACCGGTAGGATTTCACCCTGGTCTAACATTGTCATGAGCCAGAAAATGTCTTTGCAGTGATGAATCTATGTAGGATTCCTCAAAATTAGAAAGACAGTGATATAATAGAGTAAGAAAAAAAAAACCTTCAAGTATAGACTTAAGTCAAAATGTACACATGGTAATGATTATTTAAAATTAATAGTTACTTCATTCAAAAGCAGTAGTGTAAAAAAGGTTAAATTTCTCCCAAAATCTGAACCATAAGAGTTAAGTATGAGACAAAGGTAACAAGCTTGAAGTTAAAATGGATGTTTCAGCCATGAAATCACAAACTACCTAATAAAACACCCAAAATTACTTTCCGCCTTCGTTGATATAAAAACTGCAGTGTCCATAAAACATTCAGCTCTTTCAAGTCTACCCATACCCCGCCCCATTTTATCCCAAAATACTTATCCAAAGGCAGAAAAGTAGATTTAAGTCCCCCTCCACCAGATCACACACAAAATAACATTCCTCTCTATTACCTGCTTCTCAGAAGTACCAGAAATGCACCACTGAAAATACATTATTTTTGATAGGGAAAAGTGTCTCATTTTCAGAATAAACACATAAGAGACACAATTATTCTGGTTATGTAAGGCTAGGCTTACTGAGTCATTAAAAGACACAATTAGTCCCAAAAAACTCTATTTTATTGCAACAGCTGAGAATTACTTTCATTCCCAGCGGAGTCCCAATTAGTTGCAAAAAAGTCCTTTGGAAGAAGTCCTTCGGGATAATCACCAACCTTTATCTTCTTTGACACGTTGCCAAAGGCCTTACTTGGCAAAGCCCCATGGAGTTCAGAAACAAACAAGAGATGCCGACTGGAAACAGAGTTAGCAACGTTACTTTCCTGCAAAAGGCCCAAGGGCCTTTGTTTTTCTTTTAAGCCTTATGGGAGGGGCCAATCATCTCCTGGCCTTACTCCCAAGTCGTCCCTTTTGCTTTAGCTGCTCTTGCCTTCTGGCAGCTCTGCGCATGCATGCACTAGGAACAGGTCCCTCCTGTTCCTCTGCCTCTCTGCTGCCCGACTCTGAGGGCTCCGGAGTCCGCGCATCACTCCCAGATGGCCCTGGCCCCATCTCTGCCTCCGATGCAGAGCCTTCGTCCGGGCCTTCCCCAGATTCCAGGACTGGCCCATGTTCTTCCCCAGCCTCCTCACTGTCCGACTTCGCTGCCCCCTCCGCAGGCTGCTGGCAGACCACAACAGTAACATAATGCTACCCAAGATATGGGGGTTTCTCCCAAATGATAGTTTTCATAAAGTAAAAAGAGAAACTGGCGGACTCACCTGCGAACGGGCTGTGTGAGTTTGCTGCGAGGCACTGGAATGCCCCCGGAGGAGGGGGCACTAGGTCTTGGCAAGCCACTCCTTAACCCTGTGGTTCCTGCAGGTCTGGTAAGGGTAGCACTGTTGATGCCGCTGGCTGGACTTGCAGAGGCAGAACTGGGAGCCGCTAAAGGCAGCTGCGTGGCTTCGGGAACAGAGTTAGGTCCATGGGTATTAAATGCTTTTACTGGCTGTCTCAGAGCCAGAGGTGAGGGTGCTGCTGGAGACCGGAATTTACTGGGAGACGGAACTGGAATAGCACCAAAAAAAGACAGTCACGTTCAAGGTTCAGAGCAGTAAAATGGCCGCCGCTTAAAATCAGGCAGAACCTAAAAGCCGCAGCAATGTACCATGTTTCCTTGAAAATAAGACCCTGTCTTCTATCTTTTTGAACCCTGAAATAAGCGCTTGGCCTTATTGCCCTGCGTTCAAAAGCCCGATTGGGCTTATTATCAGGGGAGGTCTTATTTTGGGGGAAACAGGGCAGAGGTGGGTTTCAGCAGGTTCTGACCAGTTCTGGAGAACCGGTAGCGGAAATTTTAAGTAGTCTGAGAACCGGTAAATACCACCTCTGACTGGCCCCGCCCCAATTTATTGTCTGCCTCCTGAGTGCCAGCTGATCGGGAGGAAATGCAGTAACCTTCCCCTGGAGTGGGGTAGGAATGGAGATTTTACAGTATCCTTCCCCTGCCAGGCCCACCAAGCCATGCCCACAGAACCGGTAGTAAAAATTTTTGAAACCCACCACTGAAACAGGGTAGTAGTACAGCAGCCAATACATATTATTTCATAATAACCAATATTTCTGAATGTTTTTGAGAGAAGCAAATAGGTCAAGTTTAAACAACAATGTATTTTCAATATTCTACCAGAAAAGATGAGCAACTGAGTGAGAAGCAGTTCAAATAAAAACAGCTGCAATGACAAGTAACCGTGTAGCTAATTCATTCAGCAGACAACCACTTTTCATGGATGTCTAAATTTCGGTAATTCCTTACTGAAAAAGGAAGTTTAGGAGTCCTCAAATTTAAATTTATTTCAATTATTACCTTTCTATGACATCAGAAAATGAGGGTAATATATTCGGCAAACTAAGAATGTAGCTCTTCCAGTCAGGTGTACAATATACAGCAAAAACAACATTAATTAATATGTTACAATACTTTAAATTGTGTATGCATGCTCCAAATTGAAATTTAACAAGTATTAACTTCAATTAAATGAGTCATATTCAAACTATGAATTTGCAAGGTAAAGTACATTCAAAGAGTGTGTGATGTGTAAATATGGGCTTGCCTCATGGACCAAATATACTATAGCTCAAAGTACGAACATAGTTGATGATAAACCACCCCAATAGGAATGTTATGGTCTATAACAGGGGTCTCCAACCTTGGCAACTTTAAGCCTGGCGGACTTCAACTCCCAGAATTCTGGGAGTTGAAGTCCACCAGGCCTAAAGTTGCCAAGGTTGGAGACCCTGGTCTATAATCATGCAAACAATGTAGGCCACTTCAAGTTTAAGAGATTCAGGAAGAATTACCTTTCAAGAAAATTTCGAGATTTGATACTTAACAGTTCAGTTATATGTTACAGATTGTTATAATCTTTTTCGGCTGATCCTTCATACATTTATGTTGTGCAATGATTCTATTAAAATACAAAAGGATCTTTCTGTCAAGAATATTTCTAGGGAAATTACCAAGGTGGCATCGTGAAGACATTTTGAGGAGCGGGGGATAGGTGGGGTGGGACAGAGACTCGGTTTGAAAAGGATCAACATAATGAATTACAAAAACTGCTAAATAAAGATAGAAGGATATTTGAGAAGCATTAAACATAACTACAGATCCTGAAAGCTCATAAATAAATAAAACGCAATTCCAGCATAGTGTCGGGAAATCTTTCTGAAAAACACAATAGTAAATTCAAGGATGAAAGTCCCTTTTTTTTTTTTTTTTGATATTCCAAGAGCCATTAAATTAACATAATAGTTTCTCTTTAAATGCACTAAGACAGGGGTGTTAAACTCGCGTCGTCACGGCGGCATCACGTGACATATCGGGACTTCCCCCCCTTCGCTGAACTGGGTATGGGCGTGGCCAGCGCGTGATGCATCCAGCCGGCGGCCCAGGAGTTTGACAATCCTGCTCTAAGATATCCTATGAACAAGGCATACCAAGCTGACTTTATAAAAAAAAACTTCATTTGCCTGCAAAACACACTGCCCACAGATGGTGATTTTGCAGTAACAACAAAAAGGCCTTTACAAGAGAAAGCACATAGCTCTGAAAAGGGTTTCTTTGTCTGCAAAAAAATCATTTGCAATCTGATGTAAGTATTAATGGACTGGCGTCTTTGTCCATTCTCAAATAAGTCTTTAGTTCAGAGATGTTTATTTGTAACCACACTTCTATACTGCCTACTTTCAACACCAACAGCAATAATTCAGCACACAAATTAGAAGTTATCCCTTAATGGTGCCACACTAATTAGAATCCTCTCAAGGCCTCAAAAATGAATCCCTCTAGTAAAGAAATAACAAACTTACAAATCTTGAGCGACACTAACCCAATAGGCAAAAATGTTGTATATACATGTAAATATGGGCATGCAACACCTATCCAGTCTTCGGCAGGCAATAGGCTAATTTTATGAATGCAAAATTGTAACTTCTTGCATGAAAATACAGATGGAACTATACAGTATACCGAGGAAATGAAACTGGTCTTCTACTATATGGTGCAAAATCAAAAATATTAATTATGAAATACTGTAAATTCTTGATTTGTGTAATAGATTACTAGATGCATGCCTAGGAAAGCATAGATTACCTAGGAGTGTGTGGCAGAAGAATCTTAAGCCAAAAAATGAATGATGTTTCTCTTTTTTTCCCAATCAAAACCCCAGATAACTGTTTACATTTTAAATTTGACACCTGAAGTCATTTATAAACTATAGAAAGAAACTGAAGCTCAATCTAAGCAAGTAAATAACAACGTTTGATGTGATATGGTTTTTGAGGTTTTAGGTAGCGGGATTGTTGCAATAATCTTGACATATGTGAAGCAGAAATCCACAATGCGTGATTTCTGCTGCTCACCAAAAGCTATCTACCAGGTTTCTAAAGCTTTTAGTGAACATTATTTGGGTGTTTTTTGTATTGTAAGATCTGCACAAATATCTTCACTACTTCAATCAATGTTTGCTATCCTGAGCTTTCCAATAATGCGGACAAGCTTTTTTTTTTTTGAAAAAATGCCAAGGCTTTTTCTAAAATACTGTGATTAAGCTTAGCTTTCTCAAAGACTCCATATATTATCCTGATAATATTAAGTTCCATAGCTATTCTGTTTTTTTTTTAGCAGAAAAGTACAAAACTACTTTAAACAGTTGTCCCATGACTTCTTTAAAAGCACAACATAAGAAAACCAAAAGTAATTAGTCTGGTTGAAAATAGTGAGTTTTAAAAAGTATCTTTCCTTCACCAGCCATGAATTTCAGAGATATCAAACTTGAATAATATTAATCGGTACAAGTGTCGCTTAAATACAACACAGTGAAGTTGTCTCAAACTTGAACAAAAAAAAAAACAAAAACTAAACCTCAAAAAAAAAAACCAAACAGCTGTTGATTTCCGAAAAGATACCCAGGCTAGAAGAATTTTTATCCTGCTGTCTTAAAGCAGCGTATGAAGATGACTGAATGGCCTGAAGAACCAACCAAAGAAGCAATGATAGATTCTGTCTGGAAAAGATGACAATCTTCTGTCTGGAAAGAATGACAATCAAACAGCCTTAGAATTCCATCCAAGGATGTTGAGTTGACTTAAGGCAAAGTCAACCGAATTCAATTAGTGTAACTAATGGGAGTTTCTTCTTAGGAAGCGAGAAGGAAGTTCATTTGTACAATCTCCTCACCAAGAGTTAATCCTTTTCTGACAGCTCTGGCTGGGCTGAATCTTGTACCAAGCTTCAAATATTCAGCATCTGCTGACAGCTTGTGCCCCAAATGTACAGTTCAAAATACAGTGAGGTTCTTACAGAGGAGCAAGTGTTAACAATGAAGATTAATATCTCCTGGTGAATACATCAAGAGCAAAGTTGAACACAAAAAGAAACAACTTTCTGACTTTAGCTGGAGCGCAGTAAGAGCCTGGAAGCTAATTACCTCCTTTGGCAGCTGGAGTATGAAGTTGTTGTTTGGTTTTGAAGGCAACACGGTGCAAATTTTTCTGCTTTTGCAGAGCTGTTGAAACAAAGACGTGTTATCTCTGTCTAAACAAAGGCGATAAGAAACTTCAAAAGTTTCACTTAAGATTCTAAGGTTGTAATTTTCATCTAAAACGGTAAGAAAACAAATGAACAACAACAACAACAACAAAATGGCAAAATAGCTTTTCAAAAGCTGTTATGGCTCCAGTAATAGTAGCAGCAGTAGCAGCGAAGTGTTTTATTTTAAAGACGTGATGCTCACCGCAGTAAGAGCTGTCAGAAAACTTGTAGAATAAAATGCATTGTGTGTTTTAGCAGGCAAAGGTTTTTTTTTTGCAGGCCAAAATAATATTAATAATAAATATCTGCACACCTAGAAGTGAAAACAAACCACCAGCCAATCATGCAAAGCCATATCAGTGCAAGGTTAAACTTAAAGAAGGCAACTGTCTCATTTAACTCCAAAGGTTTATAAACTTTCACATCAGTCAACTCTTTTCAGAGCAGTTTCTTTTTCCCAAAGGTGCTTTTCCAGGAGGCAACTGGATTTTCTTTGTTTTTTTCTTTCGAAGATGTTTCGCTTCTCATCCAAGAAGCTTCTTCAGCTCTGATGGGATAGTGGGGAATGGAATTCCTTGCAGAATTCCATACTGTCAGAGTTGAAGAAGCTTCTTGGATGAGAAGCGAAACATCTTCAAAAGAAAAAACAAAGGAAGTCCAGTTGCTTCTGGAAAAAAGCACCTTTGGGACAACCATGACCTGAATGACTAAGAATCTCCGTAGACTTTTTGGTATGTGCATTTTAAAGAATATTTATTTCTGAAGCGAAATTGCTAACTATTCTCTTTCCTCTTTCAAACTGGCATTTCTTCATTCCAAATCGGGCTACTCAACTATTATGCTGATACAGGGGTGAAATCCAGCAGGTTCTGGAGAACCGGTAGCGGAAATTTTAAGTAGTTCGGAGAACCGGCAAATACCATCTCTGGCTGGCCCCAGAGTGGGGTGGGAATGGAGATTTTGCATATCCTTCCCCCCCCCCGAGTGGGGAGGGAATGGGGATTTTGCAGTATCCTTCCCCTGCCACGCCCACCAAGCCACGCCCACAGAACCGGTAGTAAAAAAAAATTGGATTTCACTATTGCACTGGTAGTTATTTAACAAACCAACCCTATTATACAGAAAAGGCAAACACCAACAGTAATCTCTGTGATAAAGCAGCTCTGAAATGAACATGGAAGGGAGGGAAAGAAAATATAGGATGCCACATTTTGAAGCTGATGTATGAGGATCAATATAAGCCACTACAGTCTGTCCGGTACAACGGTCATCCCCAGAAGCAGAATTCTGCATCATAACACGGAATACTCTTTAGAATCTTCTGTCTTACTTCAGTGTGTAAAAGCCCTTGCTGTTTTCTAAACAGATAATCGCTCTTAACATACTTTAGATCAGACGGACATAATTAAACTCATTTTGAGAATAATTTTAAAAGTCTACTGCTTGATAAACATTTAGGAGAATACCCCGTTTCCCCCAAAATAAGACATCCCTTGATAATAAGCCCAATCGGGTTTTTGAGCCCAATCGGGTTTTTGAGGCCAAGTGCTTATTTCAGGGTTCAAAAATAAAATAAAATAAAACAAGACAGGGTCTTATTTTCGGGGAAACACGGTAGAGAAGATTATTTATTATTTTGTGCTTCATGCGTGTGCAGCCATTAAGACGACACTTTCTCCCAAAGGCCAGAGGAACCTGAAACTGATCTTATTTGCATTTATGGATCGCTCTTTTTCACAGATAGAGCCACTCACGCATAATACCACTGCTTGTTTCCTTTTGCTCCATATGCAAAATCAACAAAGAATCAGCAGCAGCACCAGCAAAGGAAAGAGCATGAGGGAAGAGATTCCTGCTCTGGGACAAAAAAAAAACCTAGAAGATGATGAGGGTAAGGAAGAGGCATTTGGAGACAAAGAAATAAAAAGGGGAAAGCCTGTTTGATATTTAGATAAGGTAACCTTTATTGTCATATATGTGGATAATACATTATTTTGTATTTATTTTCTCATGTTTATGTAGTATATATTGGAGGGGGTGACCCTTTAAGACCTGTATGCAACGAAATTTCATTTTAATGTATGCCGATTAGTGTATATTCAAAGTGACAATAATGTTATTATTCTATTCTGTTCTGTTCTGTTCTGTCCTGTCCTGTCCTGTTCTGTTCTATTCGTCATTTTTTATACTGTGGGCACACTGGCACACATTAAAAATTGATATTACAGAAATGGTCAAATTAAGCAGGCAAAACAGCCTCTGCCAAGCAATAGCTAAATTTCAAACTCTTCAAAGCCATAAAATTCACATTAATCTGCATCTCTGCTATTCACTTGTTTTCTTCCATTCTTCTGAGCAACAACTCCTTTCCCTAAATTCACAAATAATTACAATGAGTCTTCCTCTTAGGTAATATGCTATATAATTATCTACATTTAGTTTAATTGGCACTTATTTAATTTTAAATTAGTTTAATGAAATTTGGTAAATGGCTCGGTTATTCCCTGACCTTAATAATGGGTGTTTTAATTTTTAGTCATCCAAATAAATTGTCCTATACTATAAATATATTTTTAAAATTATTTACTGAAACAATGTTATGTCCTCTGCTCGACCCTAAACAAGAGAGATTTTTTTCCCCTCTGGCCTCCCATTCCAGAAAATGTAAAACAGCACGAAATAGCTATTTTGACATACACAATATTCAGTTAAGAGGGAAAAGCACATAAAGTATTTCAACTAGATTTAAGAATGTGAATTTGGAAAAAGCAAAAAAACCCAAAACAAAATTATCAGCGTTAAAGAGAGTATTATGGATTTAAATGTAATGATATTTCAAAGTGAATGCAAACTAGGATTTTTTTAAAAATAATTCAGGTGAGAATTGATCTGCTGAAAACAAAGCATAAACTATGGGTAAAGGATTACCTAATGCTAATAAAATTTTAACTCATGATTTGTCTAGATGAATTGAAGTTTGATTCTGACTCTTAATCTAAATATAGTTTATGCTTTGTTTTCAGCAGATCAACCCTCATCTGAATTATTTTTTTAAAAAAATCCTAGTTGTGTTAACTTTGAAATATCATTACATTTAAACCCATAATACTCTCTTTAACGCTGATAATTTTGTTTTGGGTTTTTTTGCTTTTCCAGATTCACATTCTTTCGGTGGCTGCATGATTTTCTCAAGTAATTCACCTCTCCTGCCAAATCTAGCTGTCTAATGTAACAGAAACTCTGGGAAGAAAGCTTAATAATAATAGAAGATTATTCTTAAATGGTTAAAAATTGAGATTGAAGTTCTTTCTTGCGCCACTTGAAGATCTTATTTTCTTTTAACAACTCTGCAATCCCTTGCATCGGGGTGGAGTCAGGGCAACTGATTGGAGCTGAGCGTTTACTGGCCGGATGCCCTTCCTGACACCTACGCGGAGCTCACAGCAGGTATTTTCTCTTTGCGCCTACTACCTAGGATCGAACTCAGAGGCAAGAGCTCCGTCTCCAGGCTCCCACGCCACTCTCTTATTCACATATTCAAATATATAGCCTGAAAATGTCAGCTGATATCAAATAAATTATACTAAAAATGTGGGCGGAAAATCCACCTGGAATCATTTCTCCCAATTATCTGTTATCTATCCCCAAAAACATATTCCCAAGAGAGCTCTCATTATGCATAACTTCTTTCCTCCACCATTTCTTTTCTGCTGTAACAAAATACTGCTTTTGTTTGCTAACAATCAAAGTTTCTCATGAATCAAAAAATATATTTATTGATGAACAAGTGCTGGTTATGGAGAAAAGATCTTCGGAAGCTGGGAGCCCATAACAAAGTATATAGCTTTTCTGGACAAGATTTGTGTAAGATATACTGGGTATTAATCTGCAAAACAAAAATTATCCAAGAAACCAAAATGAGTAAGTGCTGATCTTTTTGCGAAGAGAATTCTAAGGAACAACTGTAAACAGATTTTTTCTATTTTGCTGAAAATGAAAATGATGTTAGGTAAATTTCTACCAAAGCCAGTGTGGGTTAAGAATTAACTCTTTGCTGTTGATTATGCAAATAAATTCATAGCAATCCACTGAGGGAAGAGTTTGAATTATGTTCCTGTCAGGAAACGACTATCCTGTTCATGTTTAGGAACAGAAGATGTCTGTTTTACAGTGTTCCCCTAAATGGCCAAAAATGATTAGAGTCCCCTGAAGCATTCTGCAGCTGGATAATGTTAAGTACAATGGTACTGTAGTACTCATTGTTAACTGGTTCCGGAAGGGGTGATGAGTATCAAAAATGATGAGTGCCAAACAAATTTTCCTCATAAAGGAATAATAAAATGAGCCACAAGGTGTTCTGCCCCAGCTACGGACCCCACAGAACGCAGCACACACAAAGTCTGTACAAACCTTAGTTTACTAAATTAAATCAATCTTTTACAAACAAAGGCTGTTAATTAAGTTTATTAACAGCCTACAAGAATCCAAAGAATAAATAATCGTAATCTTACTATGGTTGGCAGAATGCCCAGAAGCAATTTGTAGGAAACTAATAAGAGAACTAAGATCCAGACGCGAAGGAATGTGAACGAAGTTATTCCCTGCAAATTGCCTCAGTCGTTGACCTTCCTTAAATAGGCTAAGGGAGTGGCCAATTAGCCCCAAGCCTTACTCTCGAGGAGATCTCCTCCTGAGGAGCCACTCCTGCCTTTTGGCAGCTCTGCGTGCCTGTGCATCGAGAAGAGGCTCCTCCTCTTCTTCTTCTTCACTTATGGGAGCTTCTGGAGGTTCTGAAGGCCCTGGCTGAATCCCCGCCTCTGGCACCACATCTTCTCCAGCCTCCTCATTGTCTGACTCGAGTGCCAGCAGCACAGGCTGCTGGCGCAGCACCACACCAGCCTCCTCGCTGTCGGAATCAACTATTAGCTGCACAGGCCGCTGACAGGCTACAACACAAGGCAGCCAACAATGATAAATTCAACTTATGCATTGAGTACCAAACAAACAATGAGTACCGGGACAAAATTTTCACATCAAAATGTACCAAGTATTACATTTGATGAGTTTCAAAACAGTCGAATACCAAGGTACCACTGTAAGTAGTATTGGGTCTATGCTAATTCAGGAATGTCAGCAAAATTTTCACGATCTATTTTGCAGAAAAGTGAGGGCAGGATTAAACCAATACTGAGCAAAGAAGCAATTAAAGTAAAGGTTCCCCTCGCACATATGTGCTAGTTGTTCCCAACTCTAGGGGGTGGTGCTCATCTCTGTTTCTAAACCGAAGAGCCAGCGCTGTCCAAAGATGTTTCCGTAGTCATGTGGCTGGCATAACTCAGCGTCAAAGGCGCATGGAGCACTGTTACCTTCCCACCAAAGGGGGTCCCTATTTTTCTACTTGCATTTTTTACGTGCTTTCGAACTGCTAGGTTGGCAGAAGCTGGGACAAGTAACGGGAGTTCACCCCGTTACACGGCACTAGGGATTCGAACCGCTAAACTGCCGACCTTTCGATTGACAAGCTCAGCGTCTTAGCCACTGAGCCACCACATCCCTGAGAAGCAACTATAGGATGTGAAAACTAACCTGATTACTCGACAAACCATGACTGAAATAAACTACAGCTTATTGTTACACACTAACAAAGCTGTCAGCTCTGAACTTGGTGTAAAAATAAATACATTTTTTTCAATATAGGTATCAAAATCTGTCAATGCTCTGACATTGAGATATATGTATATTAATGATATATACTGAAATTTATACCAGTTTGGATACAATGTTTATATTTCCAATGTGTTTTTCAATACTAATATAGTAGGCATGCAGTTGTGAAAGCTAACTTGTGGAATGAAAAAGGCAATAGTTTTAAATCAAAGTAACCGTGTCAAGTTAAGCCCATGCAGAACAACAATTTCAAGTGGAAAAGCCAGTATAATGGGACAGTGTTTTGTAAAGGAAAATCCAAGGAAAACATGGAAAGGTAAATCACAAACACCGAAAAGCATATAAGAAGATGATTTCTACATATCAAACTTAAGAATACAGTAGGTACAAACCACATACAATGCACATACTGTACAATATCCTTAAATGCATCTTTGTTTAGTTGCAAATTGCTTTGGCAATTGGGCTGAGGGATGGAAATGTGTTCTTCCAAATTAAAGATCCCAGCTCATGTGAACCTCAAGAAAACATGTTAACAGTGACTAAGCAAGATATTAATATCCTTTCTCCCTACAAGCACTATGGACTTGATTCTGAATGAACAGCTATTACTTAACAGTTAAGCAACAATATATGCTATGTTAAGTTTCAATGTTTTCTACCAAGTGTAATTTAACCCTTAGCTTCCGAAGGTTATGCCTGATAAGTTTCCATCTTCCTTCCAAATTTGAAAACCATGGTTCTACAATACATAATAGTATGTATTTTATATCCATGTATTAGAGCTGTGTCTTTATTCACCTGCCCCTTCTAGATGTATATCCTTGTCAGCACTTGAACCCACATTTACTCTAGTGCTGACATAAGAAGAAGAGGGGGCAGCTGGCAAGAGGGCGCTTGACATTTCACCTACTTATTTTCCTTGAAGATAATATCCCCTAGGAGATGAGAGGGAGGGGGGACATTCCTGGGAGCTTAAGTAGTAGATATGGGGAGAGTGATTTGGAAGAAAGCCAATGAGATGCAGAGATTTGGGGAACGGAAAGGGAAGGTTTGGGGTCAGGAAGTCAGAGTTGGCTACGCCACGATCAGGGTCAGATTGTCGTGCTTAATAAAATGAAAGATTTCTTCAAAGACTATCTGTTTGGAAATGCAATTTATTTTTTTTGTGACAATATCGAAACCTGACAATCCTAACATATAAGGCAATTAATAATATTCTCTTATTTTTATAATACATCCTCCCATTGCCCTAGGCCGGCTCCATAGCAAAAGGGATGCAAAGCAAATCAGCATGCTCAAACGATGGCTACGTAATTAATCACATTATCGTGTTCAGCATATTGTGATACTTTTAAGCTCTTTGCAGGCATATAGATGGTAGATGTAAGCATAAAAGCACCAAGGGCAAGAAAAAGCGAGTAAGCCCTGCCCCAAACATCTGCATACCTCTGCAGACATCTATGCACTGAGCATGGAAATCGTGAATATGTTCAGTTTGAGTTAGCTGATCAGGGACACTGGTAAAACAGTTTCTAACTGCAGAAAAATGCAAACTAGTGCAGTTCTTAGAGCTCAGCGCATAAAGATCTGCAGAGACCACAAAGATGTTTGTGAAATCAGCAACATTAAATTTTGAGTTTATTCAGGTAAACATTTTAGGAACCCAGTCTAAAGTATGAAATGAGAATGACTGTACTTTTAATCTGTTTAGGAGAATCCACACAGAGAACAATGCGCTGTCTTTAATTTAAGGTAAAGGTAAAGGCTCTCCTCGCATATATGTGCTAGTTGTTCCCGACTCTAGGGGGCAGTGCTCATCTCCCTTTCAAAGCCGAAGAACCAGCGCTGTCTGAAGAAGTCTCTGTGGTCGTGTGACCGGCATCACTAAATGCCAAAGGCGCATGGAGCGCTGTGACCTTCCCACCATAGGTGGTCCCTATTTTTCTACTTGCATTTTTTACCTGCTTTCGAACTGCTAGGTTGGCAGAAGCTGGGACAAGTAGCGGGAGCTCGTCCCGTTTACGCGGCACTAGGGATTCGAACCGCTGAACTGCCGACCTTTCGATCGACAAGCTCAGCGTCTTAGCCACTGAGCGTCCCTTTAAGATCTTATTGTTCCCCAAAAACAGTATTGAGGCATAACTTTTCAATATGTTTTGTATTATATTGAAGATATCACAGCTGCAAATTGCAAGAACGCCTGTAGCATTACTTTAAACCCTAGGAAGGATGCATGTGTGATAATAAATTAAATATGGACATTATATTTGCTGATGATATTGAATGCTTAAAGAATCGCTAAAGTTCTCTGCGTAAACCTGGAAAGAAAGGAATACATATCAATATTTTTAAAAAAGCAACTTGGGACAATATATATTTATATATATATATATATATATATATATATATATATATATACGTTTTCAATAGTGGGATAGAAAAAATAATTTCATTCATTCAACATACATTAGATCTGGCTAGGTTAGCGTTAGCCACATGAAACATCTAATCCCTTTACCATGAAACTGTAAACACGCAGCTACAATTTTCAGTCTTCTTTCAGAAGCTGCGTTTACAGCATCACTGTAAAGATACTTACTGGCTGAGGACTGAGGCTGAATACGAGGTATTCCTCCGTTTGGCACTTGAAAGTTTGAGTCACTTCTACTGTTTTTCACAGACTCAACATGGATGTTAGATGTCCTGGAGAGGTTTGGAAGACTACGCCTTAGTTTTTCTGTATTAAAGAAAGATAACAACATACCATCTAATGCAGGAGACGGCACTCTTCTACCCCCCAGAGCAACCCTGGAGTACAGAGGCCCTGAGGCAGGGGGAAAAGACTAAGTACAAATCTTCAGAGAAACATACTTTAGCTGTCAAGCAATACATTATCAATTAAAGCATTAAAAAGTACATATTTTATCTAAAATACTACATTTTAGAAAAGTCTGAGCCCTCACATAGAGCAAAAATTACCGTATTTTTCGGAGTATAAGACTCACCGGAGTATAAGACGCACCTACCTTTTTTGGTGAGGAAAAGAAGAAAAAGAAATCTCCCTCTGCCTCTGAGCAGTTTTGCCTGGTTGCAGCAAACAGCCTGCTTTACTTTCATTTTCATTTTCAGGATAGCTTGATTAGCACAAGGGAAAATCTGCTCCAGCAATTTACATCTTTGCAGCAAGCAGCAGAGCCCTGCGCAAAACAGCTGAGACTCGGAAGGCCGATCCAATCAACATGTGCTAATTAGGCTGTGCTGAAGCTGAAAGGAACTGTTTTTTCTTGCTGTTTGCTTGCAAGGAGGTAACTGCTGCGAGGCAGAGGCCAAAGGGTGGGGGCCAGTGGGTGGCCGGGGCTACATTCAGTGTATAGGACGCACCTAAATTTTCACCCCCTTTTAGGGGGAAAAAGATGCGTCTTATACTCCAAAAAATACGGTTTATTGATTTGAATTCCAGTGTCTGCATAAAATTATGTAGAACTAGTTCCGAGTCAGAATATTGATACCAAAATAAATAAGAAACAAATCTGCAATATACAACTGGACAAAAAGAAAGGTTTAGTGAGGGGGCTTCACAATAATTTCCTCACACTCCCATAATTGCTCCAAATCTGTTTTTGATACTACACTACACTTGATCTTAGCCAAAAGGCCGAGAAGTTGATGATCAGATTTGAATTTATTTAATACTGTATTTAGAGAATACAGAGAAGATTCAGAAAGTCACAATGTGTTTTTTGGTGGAATAGCTTTTACCAGCTGACACCATTGTACAAAACCCTATTTATTTCAAAAACCGTATCAAAAATGCTATAATTTTAAGAAGAAACAATGGGAAACTAGATTAGCAGTTTTCAGAAACCCTACAGTGATGAACAGATTCCATAGCTTTGAACAAATATGAGTTTATAGTCAAAATGTCTTCTCCATCATCCTAGCAGTATTGGTTTACATATAGAAGGATCATCACTACAGATTTGGGGGAAAATCAGCTTTATTAGCTAAATGATGTGCTTGCTAGGCAATATTGAGCCTTATGAATCTTAATAAGAAAAAAATCAATACTGATATTCATCATAACAGTGTAATAGCCCAATAAATTAAACATGAATTTAAATTTTTTTTAAAAATGTGGAATGCATTATGTTGTGGACTTTGTTTCTTCTGCTATGATGTAATACAGGGGTCCCCAACCCCGGCTCACAGCCCACAACTGGGCTGCGGCCTATTTGCAACCGGGTTGCATGCGTGCACAACTCAACTTGTGCAAGTCGAGCTGTGCGCGTCGGCCCGTCACTCGCACAAGTCGAGCTGTGGATGCGTGTGCCGGCCCACTACTTGCAAAGCCCAGTTTCCCTTTCCCCCCCGCCAGGCTGCCAAGCCGCAAAGGTTGGGGACTGCTGATATATAACCAACCAATCTGCATCTTCTTAATTTTTCATTCTTTAGTGATATAAATCAAATGGTGTTCTCTGTATATCATTTTCACTTGTTATTTCTCTGAAAAGGAAACACTCTCAAGTGCGATAATTGTATGACATCGTGATTTAAAGCAGATTTGGGAATTTCGAAGAAGATTTATGAGATTTATGGACCTGCATGAAATGACAATGGGCATTTTGTCTGAAACACTGTTGGAAACTAGATTGAACCGTAAACTGAGATATATAAGAATTTGGAGGTGCACTGGAACTAGTGCGCAACTAGAAATAATAGGCCAATGCAAAAAAGAATCCTATATTTGTAGAATATAGAAACCTGTGCTCTTGGATTAAGTAATACCATAAATCATGTGAACTTAACTTTCTCAGCTGTCACCAAATCAGCATCCCGACTAAGAAACAACGCAAATAATTTCTTAAATTTAATGGAATTAACTATGCTGAGTTTCCTTGACCGCTTTTGCTATACCCACAGAATGCAGTTTTAAGTAAAAATAGGCTTAAAATATATTTCACTGATCACAACATATAATCTACTTTATTATTATTTTTTTTGAGTTAGAGAATATTTCTTGTTGTTGGTTGGTGTATCCCATTTTAAGATCAATGCAAGAGAAGCAAAAGCAAAAGCAAAAGCTCAAAGGATGAAAAATAATGCAAACAGGGATAAAGATGAACAGAGCTATTCAAATTAAGTTTAGCGCCGCCTGCTTATGAACTATGCCGAGAATCATTATTTTAGTCCGATATACAAATACTGTACATACTTTCATACTGCTGTGTATCTATCCCTCAATCCCACCCAGTAGTAATTACTATAGGGAATAATTGGATTACTCCCCCCCTCCCCCAATTATGGCTTGTCTGTGATTAGCAGTCTGAGATTATATAGAGACTGGAACTTAATTACAGAAATATAGAATCACTATGAGCAGCTACAACATATTGCCATTTTGACTTTTGTCTATTGTGCAAATCAATCTAATAGCAGCTCCCAGCTTCCTAATCGGTACAGAGGAAAATAGATGGGGCCACCATCTCTTACAAATAAAGACAGACCCTCCCCTAATCCATTACTGAGCATATTAGATAATCCCTCAATCTAGCTCAGAGATGCAGTAACCATGTATATTTTAAATTTGTTAATAGGCAAGTTACTCAGACTAATTTTCCTGATCCCTTTAGGAATTTTTCAACCTACTTCTAATAAGACGTCTCCTTTCCTTTCAACCAGCTGCTCATTCATGGCGCAAGGGTGTCATGCATGCAGGGAAACATGAGGTGTGCCAACATAATTTAAAAGGAAGGACAGGTTAGGTTTTCAGCCACAGCGTTACTTTTGCTACAGCAAGATTAACAAGAACCAATAAAAAGCTGTATACAAAAGTGGTCCTGATCGCATGCTGCGTGGAACAGGTGTGCCGTCACTTGCCATTCCAGCCGAGCGTCCTCATTGCTGTTACTCACCTTCCCAAGTGCCTATCTAGCTTATGGCTCCCGTTTCCACCCACCCGTACAGTTTTTCCATTGAGATTAAATCCTATTTAAGAGTTAGTGGCAGACAGAGCCACAGGGGAGGAGAACAGCAGAGTTCAGCACCAGGGGATGAACAAGCCTGTCAGTACAAAACACAGAATAGAGTATTTTCCAGCCTGGCATTTTCCACGCCACTTGTAGGTATGTGAAAAGGGGCAGGTGCAAGTCACAAAAGAGTAAATTGACAAAAAGTGTCACCCTCAATATTTCAGACAAACAGGCATATGCACTTCCTCTGGGAACTATACATTATTTTCTGTTGGGACTTTAAAGGAAATTTCCGCTACATTTTTTGAAATTGTCCCATTTAAGGTACAAGCCATGCATTATTTTTTTTTAAAATTTTGATTTATATGCCGCCCTTCTTCGGAGACTCAGGGCGGCTTACAATGTGCTCAGCAATAGCCTTCGTCCTTTTGTATATTTATACAAAGTCAGCTTATTGCCCCCACAATTGGGTCCTCAATTTACCTACCTGAGTCAACCTTGAGCCTTGGCGAGATTCGAACCTGCAGTAATTGCAGGCAGCTGGTCTTAATAACCAGCTTAATAACAGGGTGCCTTAGACCACTGTACTACCAAGGCATTGCTTCACTTGATTTATATTTATCGTATATTCCCGTGATGGTGAACCTATGGCACGCGTGCCACAGGTGGCACATGGAGCCATATCAGTGGGCACACGAGGGTTGCCCTAGCTCAGCTCCAGTGCGCATGTGCACTGGGCAGCTGATTTTCGGGCCTTCTGGGCCCACCGGAAGTTGGGAAACAGGCTGTTTCCAGCCTCCGGAGAGCCTCTGGGGTGGGGGGAGGTCGTTTTCACCCTCCCCAGGCTCCTAGAAAGGCTCTGGAGCCTGGGGAGAATGAAAAACGGGCCTTCCGGTCCCACCGGAAGTCAGCAAACGGGCTGCTCCCGGCCTCCGGAGGGCCTCCGTGAGGGTGGGGAAGGCTGCTTTCCCCCTCACCAGGCTCCAACAAAGCCTCTGGAGCCTGGGGAGGGCGAAAAACTGGTCTACTGGGCTCACCGTGCCATCACGTGCCAAAAGACGGGGGAGCATGGGAGGATCGCGTGCGCATGTGTGGGGGGTGGGTGAGGCACATTGAATTATGGGTGTGGGCATGCGCGTGCACGACACCCCGTGCTCCCCCCGTTTTTGGCACCTGACGCCAAAAAGGTTAGCCATAACTGGTCTATTCAAACGTTTGAAACATTAAGATCTGCTTAGAAAAATATACGCTTCAGACATTCTGTATTACTGTTTTTGATCAGTCTCCTGTTAATGGATGTAACAGGAATTATAGTGCTAGAATAACTGAGTTCAAATTGCTTCCTAGAGCTCAAGTTTCGTAATTTCCAAGTCAAAGAATTGCATTTTCAAAACGCTAATAACTGGTTGATGAGAAAGATGGAATTCTTTCATTCAACTTTCTCAGATCTTAAGTCTACCTGGTAACAAAACAGTTAGCTGGAATTTCACTTGCTGCAGAGAATGTAGGGAACTGAAAGAAAGCTTTAAAGCAAGCAATGAAAGGGAGCAAAACGGGAAGATGAAAATTTTTTAAATGCAATCGTTTTTAAACAGTGCTATACAATGTGCAGTCTGATAGGTCTCCTTTCACAAAGTAGAATTAGCAATGCAACATGCCCGAAGAGATTTAAGAAGAACTGGGAAGCAGCAGGAACATCCAACAACAACAGAAAAATAACCTTGTTGAGTCTGTTTGTGGTCTCTTAGCAACACTTTAGTTTACGCATCTCATTGAATTCCATTAAAAAAAAAGAGAGAGAGACTAACTTTTAAAGGAAAATGTTAATAGAAGAAACATCCTAGTTATTCTGTACTGTAATGAGATTATTAGGAAATATACTGTATATAGCTCACCCTCTAACAGTACCTTTCTTACTTTGAACTTTGAAAAAAACACTATTTAGTTTCTGTATACAGTATTTTTCCTTCAGGTATAACATATATACGACTAGATCTTAGAAACAGATGCAAGAATAAAATGAACTAAATTCCAATATAATAAAATCTCTGTTGTTCTTTTAAAATGTATACTTTCTTCCTCCTTCCATATATTCTCATGAGTCCAGTGGCTTTGTTCCGTTTCTTTATTTCAAACTAATGTTGACTGATTAGATTCAAAGGGCAAACCATTTTACTTTGTGGCATGTGGTATTTAATTTTTTCTCTCTCAAGTAAACAGTTCTGGCTTCATCCATCAAACAAGTTAAGGTTGAAGTTAAGAATGAGCACTTTATTTTTTAAAAAATAATGGCAGATAACCTACCATGCAAGGAATAATTGAAAACTGAAAATTGAATACATGCATGCTTACAGAAAAGGAAATTTACTTTTCCTTTCTCATGTATATATTTGCTAAGAATAATTAATCCTATTTGCAGTAATTCAGCATCTCAAGAGGTTTTTTTTTATATGACATATATTTAAAACTATCACCTCTTTGAAGCAACAATTTTCATTTTGCCATTAATTCTATTTCCTTTAGGGAAAAAAAATTACAATAGTCGTTTGTCACTATTTTGGCCTGGTTAATCTTTTTTTTTTTTCCCCCTAATGGGCATTCTTCTTGATGGAGTTCTCATTCAATATGAGAATTGGATGACAATGTTGTTGTTATTATTATTTGAAAAATTACATGGCCACAAAACAAAATTATTTTCAGAGCTTACGGATTTCTAATCATCCTAATGAAAAAAAAAAACCAACAACCACCCTATCACAAAACTTATTCTACCTTTCCTTGTATCTTTGGCTGTAAGGCCAAATACATAGCACATTTTTAATTTTATTATATTTGGATAATTTACAGGGCTGCTGATTTCACAACCAGAGTTTTAAATGCTCCCGTATCACCGGGGCCACACCCACTGCCCCTAGCTGAATGTTTCATATGTAAAACTGACGACAAAGTCTTTTACCTTCATTTTTGACAGTGGTGGTTTGTAAATCAGGGGGATGTCCTTGAAGTGAAAGGCGGGGTTGCTGCAGGCGGCTAAGCATGGGCTGAGGCGACACTCTGCTGTACTCTATTCCTCTAGCGGGGGATCGAGACCTGGGAGAATTCCTCGGGGACTGCTTTGGCGAAGGCCGGGGTGAATTGCGAGGTGATGGAGAGAACCTATTCATAGCTGGGTGCACTGCATGGTGGCAGCTGTCTTCTTCGTCTTCTAAGCTCTGGGCATCAAGTTCCTGGTCGCTAAACGTTCCACGCCGCATAGAACTACATGAAGAACCAGAGCTACGCCGAGAAGTCGTTGCTGCGTATTCTTGCCGAAGACCTAAGGACAGAAAGAACATTGTCCTGAAGTACAATCTCCTTTTTGATGAGTACAGACAAGGAACATGTCAATTCCCATGCTGGTGTTTGACCGGGGCTGTTTTCGAGGCAGAAACACCACTGAATGCATCTCAGCTTTTCCAGTAAAGGCAGTACATTATTAGCTGTCATTGCTGAAAACATTGAAGAATCTGGGAAGGAAATACATCTGAAGCACGGGTGTCGAACTCAATCACGCCACGTGACATATCGCGACGGTTTTTGCCTTTGCGGAGCCGGGGTGGGCGTGGCCTGCACATGATGCATCCGGCCCGCAGGCTGCCAGTTTGACCTCCCCCCCGGTCTGAAGCAATGGCCCAATGCAGCATGGGTTATCTAGAATTAACCAAAGTTAAGTTATGCACTAGCTATTCTAGATCTAGACCTTAGCATCCAGGATTTGAAAGCAAGCGATAAGCATGGACTAGCAATGTGGATCTGACATCAGTTCCAAATTTATCATTTTAACCAATACTACGTTTTTCTTGTCAATATTTAACCACACTTGGAGGCCAGCTCTTAATAAATTCTAGAAATCAAATGTTTCACCGCTTCCACAGCAGCAGATGGAAAGACAAAGCTAGGCATTATTCACATCTTAATGACACCCAACGCCAAATGGCTACAATATGCCTCCACGTTATCCAGCCAGGAAACAACACACTAGCTTGATTGTTATGCCTACAACATCTCAAACCAGAATCTGTTGGCAGTATTGACTGTATGCTACTATATACTGAAAGATTAATTCTGTGGAGAAATCGTATTATAGGACCTCTGAGCTAAACAGAAACGTCATAAATAGACACAAACAAAAGCTGGATATCATCTGCTGGCAAAATGTAAACAGAAGAGAATAGAATTCTTTATTGGCCAAGTGTGATCGGACACGCAAGGAATTTGTCTCCGGTGCAAACGCCCAGAAGTGTACATATAAACAGCAAGTAATACGTCACAGGTCATAAATCATAGTTATAATCATAAATCATAAGTTACAAACAACAATTGATAAATCATAAGAACCCAATAGGAGAAGATAGTAGGAAAGATGAGAAATGTGACAGTACTGAGGGAATTAAGTGTTCAGCAGAGTTGTGGCACGGGGGAAAAAGCTATCTTTATGTCGAGTTGTTTTGGCATACAATGCCCTAGAGTGGCCTTCTGAGGGGAGAAGTTGAAATAGATTATGTCAGGATGTGAGGGGTCTGTTAATATTTTCTCAGCGCTCCTTCTGGCTCGTGCAGTATACAGAACCTAACTTTAACATGTCATAATTTATTTTCTTCTATGGTAGAGAGGTGGGGACATTTTTCTGGCATCTTGCAGGAACTGTCCAATTCCTGTCCCTCTTCCCTTTGGCTTTAGGTTAGGTTGGACCACCCTATAATTACAACGCCAAAGTAATTGATATTATAACTAATACATTTTTCTCCAATGAATATGCAGCTTTACATTTTATCCAGCAGACATAACGAAGACTTAGGTTTTCAGTGAAGTTTGCAACAAGAAACACATTTTAGTTGAAATATTCCCACAAATCCTTTGTTTTATTCTGGGTAAGTTACTAAATGCAAGAAACACGAAGTCACAACCTTTTATAAAACTAGTTTCAGTTATGTGGCCTCGATGGCAATCACTGAAGGAAAATTGTTCTGTAAACCCGAATTGAACTCATGCCTGGTAATGCTGTCCCCAGTGCAGCTCTCTAACAGGACTGTAACCAAGAAACATAAAGATTATAGTATTAACTCTGATTTAATTCCCAGTCTGTCACAGAAAGATAATGCAATGGTAGCTCATACATAGAGTTTTCCATCCTTCTTGGTAAATGTACTGGGAGATGGAGGTGGTGCTTTTAAGAACTGTGTATTCAAATCCAGATCATGTCTTCAACTACAACCAGCATGTCATCTGAGTTTCCAACAATGTTTTGGGTGATTAGAAGCCAAGAAACCTGTCAAATTTCCAAAATGTTCCCACTTCCCTACCGGTTTATAACCGCAGCACTATAGCAATTATTTAAAACTGCATCTAGAAAGAGTTGCTATGCAGAAACATAAATGGACACATTTCAATGTTGAATTTTTCCCTATTTTTTTATTCACCTCTTAGTCTTTCTTATTATTTTCCATTTCTTTTGGCCAATTATTTCTCAAACCTTTCTGTTTCTTAACATGTGGCCTTCATGTTGAATCCCTGAAGTTTACCAACAAAAGCAAACATGTTAAAAATAACAGTAAAAAACCTCAGATTTTTACTTTTTACGATGTGAAAACTACTTACTCTCTTCTTGCATTCGGGCTAAAATTTGCACATCGGTTAAGTCGTTTAGTTTGTAATTAGATCCTATTGAGTCTTCATCCATTTCTGAAGCACTTAATTCACTGTCTATAGAGGATTGTGGGCTGAGTGGAGGATTTCGATCAGAACTTTTGAAATGACCTATAAGAACAGAAAAACAAATTAATACATAAATGTATTAATACATTAATACATTAATACAGCATGATTTATAGAACACTGAAGGCAGAAAGAAAAAACTTCCAAGAACTCAAATAAATTCATGAAATGAAATAAACTCATTTCTCTTCAAGTTAGGTACAATCAATCTACAATGTGCTAGATTTAAGTGAACTTCTAAATATTGAAATTCTTAAAAGTGCTTTAAAGGAAAGTTGAAACAAGTCTTTATTGTTTTAAGACTTCTGCAACTCTCCATTCACCACTTCCATAATAATTGTATCTTAATTTCAATGTTTTGCTATTAAGGAAAAATAATTCTGGCACTCAAAATTGTACCTCCACTACAAAAGATGAATTTATAAATGCCAAATAGAATAAATGTAAAAATAACTTTAACCTGTTTGTAAATATAGTAGCCTACCTTGACCAGGATTTGGGCATACTCTGGTCTGTAGGAAGTTGACTACATAATGGAAGGAAGGAAGGAAGGAAGGAAGGAAGGAAGGAAGGAAGGAAGGAAGGAAGGAAGGAAGGAAGGAAGAAAGGAAGGAAGGAAGGAAGGAAATGTACACAGCAATATAAGGATTACAGCTCAAAATTATTCAGATATCATTAAAAATTGCTAATATGGTGCTTTATCTGCATAAACTGTAAAAGCAGAAATAGATTCAAACGTCTGAAATAACTGAAAATATTAAGAGCGAATACGTTTTTCTTGGTGTCTATCATGTGCCGCTTAGATCTGAGGCTCTTACCTGAGTTGTTAGGATATATGAGCTGTTTTACTAAAGGAGCTTTCGCTGGTGTAGGGGAAGAAGAACTGAAGCTAGTGCTGTAGGGACTGCCAGCACTGTGGCTATAGGAGTTTGTGTAGTTGACAGTGTTGAATGGATTACTATATAGGCTGTGTCTCTTGAGAGCTGTATAAAAAAAACAAACAGCAGGAAAAAAATCATATACTGTTTCACAGCACTTAAAATTGCATTTCTGGTTTTAATTTCATATAGTATGTTATGAGGTACAGAATGTGGGTACAAAGTAGAATAAGGGTTTTTTTTTTAAAAAAAAACATATCTCTTCACCTTGTTAATAGCATAAACTCTCTACAGTAGAATCCCATCAATTTTAAATTTTTAAATTTAATTTGGCAAACACTAATATTAAATTTTGATAATGTAACAGTCCAAAAAATATCATCTCATCACTTATTTCAGTTATTTAATGTCCCTGAATTTTTTTTTGCAAAAAAACAATTGCAGATTATTATTATTTTTTTAAAATAAATGTTATTAAATTTTCCAAGTTAAAATCAACGTAAGACAAAAACATTGATTATACATAACAACAAAAACCATGCATTCCCCTTCCCCCATTCATAACACTAGACACACAAACACATCCATAATATTCCTGCCCTCATTAATAAATAATTGTGCCCACAACACAGAATAAAGTAAATAATCCCCAAATATGGTTTTCAAACAATTGTCTTTCAATCTATATCTCTCCTCATATTGACTTAGGCCCTCACTTCATCTCAATCCTTTTATTCAACCACCGGTACCAACTGTCCCAACTTTGAAAAAAATTCAGAATCCTCTTTTTCTTTCAACCTATATGTCATTCTGTCCGCTTCAGTGCACTCTAATGTCAGCATTCTGATGCTGCCATAAAAAGATGAGGCTTGACTTTTCACCTACTTATTTTCTCTGTAGATAATATCCCCTAGGAGATGGGATGGGAGGGGGGAACATTCCTGTGGGGTGAGGTCAGAAGCTGGGGAGACTGACTTGGAAGATGGCCAATGAGAAGATGAGAATTGGGGAACAGAAAGGGAAGGGTTTGGGGGGTCAGAAGGTTAGTATCGGCTACGACGAAGTCGGGGCCAGATCTGTCGTACTCAATAAATGGAATATTTCAGCGAAGATTAATTGTTTGGGAGTGCAATTTATTTGAGATGACATCGAAACCTGAGAGATAGCCTGACATCTAATACTTATTAATAATTATTTATAATTTGGACACTGGTCAGTATCTCTTTTTCTTTCCATTGTTGGGTGAACACTATTCTAGCTGCGACTAAAATATGTAGAGTGAGATACCATTTTTTCTTACTTAGCCCCTCCTGGTGAATACCTAGCAAATATATCTCAGGTTTCCATTGGAGGTCCACATTAGTAATTTCCTTAATCCAATTCCTAATCCTTCTCCAATACCTCTTTGCCATTATACAAGTCCACCATTGATAGAAATATGTACCTCTGGTTTTCCCACATTTCCAACATAACTCTGATGCACCCGGAAACATTTTAGCAATTCTTGCTGGTGGGAGATGCCACCTATACAACATTTTATATGTATTTTCCTTGAAAGACGTTGCCGTAGTCATTTTAATATTTTCCCCCCACATTTGTTGCCAACAAATGGCAGCAGATGATTATTTTATATGCCGTTTCTCAGATACCAATTCATTTAAAATAAAATGATACCGTACAAAACAGCTGCCGTGCTGGCATACTTATTAGACAATAACTACAACATAGCTGGACACTTGTCTCCCATGAATTTTTAATATAAGAAAGCATATCATAATCTTCCTATTAATGTAAATTGGATTTAAAACAGGCTAACTTTCACTGGAACATAACTATTTTTAAAAAATACTACCTGTTTAAAACAAGTTAGCATAAAAAAAAAAATCAGAAGCTCACCTGACATGGTCTGTTCAAGCCTATGGATCAATGACTGTTTAGCACATTCAATATCTGGAGTTGGATAATCCAGTATTTGCCTGCACCAAACGAGCGGACTGATTGATTTTTGCACTGGGGTCGCTTTCTTCTTTGGTGACATATACAACCTGGTGGAAATTAAAAGACACGAACATTACATAGGGATATACAGTCAAATTAGAACTTCAATATATTGTTCTTTTTAACAAAAAGCACAAGGCAAAGAGTTTTCTTTTAAGTGCATTTTTTTCTCTGTTTCCTGGAAATTAAAGAGACTGCCTTTCCCTGATTGAATGTGCCCACCTAACCCAGTTAGTGCCTTCATGGGATCTCCAGATACCAGGGGAAAGAGACTCTGAAGGCAGGCACTCTTCGTAGGGCTCCCCTCTGGGACACATTATTTTTGGAAGTAATAAGAGCCCCTCTTCTTATACTCTAGTTTTCTGGAGAGCTGTCAAGATCCAGCTTTTGGGGAATTGATTCGGGAACCATTACGTAACTTTTTCGTTTCATTATCGTACTACAAAGTTTATATTTTATATTGTTTAATTATAGTTGGCTGTATGATGCACATTGTAATCACCTAGAGCAGGGGTCTGCAACCCGCGGCTCTGGAGCCGTATGTGGCTCTTTCATCCCTCTGCTGCGGCTCCCTGTCGCTCAAAATATACATCACAACCGTCAATGTGCGACACCCGCCGGCACATTTATTTATTGAGCTGTTCGACCCATTTTTTTTTTCTGGAGTTCAAAATGTTTTTGTTGCATGCAGAAATAAAAATGTGTTTTCTCTGTAGCAGGTCACTGATTTCCTAAATGCAACACACTATAGTTTTTTTATACATAGCATAAAGGTAAAAAATGATATATGCAATGTTATTTTCATTTTAGATGTCAAAAGGGTTTTGTGGCTCCCGGTATTTTCTTTTCTGTGGGAAACGGATCCAAATGGCTCTTTGAGTGTTTAAAGTTGCCGACCCCTGACCTAGAGTCCAGCAAGGCAATGTGATTGATTGATTGATTGATTGATGGGCAGATTGCCTGCCCTCCAGGAAAAAAATATATCAGATGAATGTTAATTTCAGTATGCAAAAACAGATTTTATTAGTTCAATATAAAGCATGGGAACTGTCAAAACAGTTTATACAACAAAACAACTTCTTAGATATCCACAGCCTTTTCTGTGCATAAGTAAACACTCAGAAATGATATGGAATACGGTTTAGGAAATTGAGGTGAGATGGTAGGAAACTTTAAAAAGCAGCAGCTCTTGTCCATTTTTGGGGGGGTGGGGGGAAATTTTCCAACATGCAGGGAAGTTTTGCTTTGTTAAGGGGGCATAGGAGCTGAAAGATGAACATTACAAAAAGGGGATGGGAAGACAAAGTTAAAGGCAAACAGTGTAAGTCTAAAATCAAGCTTACACAATAAACTGAAAGCCCAAATAATTTGACTTCAATTCAAAACTGCTTGTAAAATAAACTGCAAGATAAAATATTATATGAAGTATTTTAATACTTTAAACATTTTAGGGCTTGACATAAAGCTTCAATCTAGTGTTTTCAGATAGTTTATGAAACATATTCAACATCCAAAGAATGGGCAGGTACTTAATGAACGGACTTGTTAAGTTTTAAAATACTTTTAAAGTCTCAGTTAATAAAAATGTCTTTAATTGGACCTTATGTCAAAAAAAAATAAAAAGCACAAAATCAGTCATCCTATTCCAAAGAGTCTACTACCAAGGCAACACTTATTCATTTCAATAAGGAGGGTGGAAAACTAACATAGGAAAAAGAATTACAAGAACTGTATACATTGTTCATTGAAAGTGTAGGCATAAACAATTAATACAGAATTGCTATTCTGTATTCTGCATTATATTTGTAACTTTGTCATTCATTCTACAATTGTAACTAGTTATGAATGAAATATCATTTCCCCATATTTAACACTCATATAGCAATAGCACTAGACTTATATGCCGCTTTACAGTGCTTTACAGCCCTATCTAAGCGATTTACAGAGTCAGCCTATTGCCCCCAACAAGCTGGGTCCTCATATGCACACTTTACGGGGACGTGATGGCTCAGCGGTTAAGAATCTGAGTTCGAGACCTGAGCGCCACGTGATGGCATGAGCACCCATTCTTGCCCCAGCTCCTGTCCACCTAGCAGTTCAAAAGCATATAAATGCAAGTAGATAAATAGGTACCACTTTGGTGGGAAAGTAACAGCGGTCGGTGTTTCTCTGCACACTCTGCATTGCAGCGCGATGTCATGATGGCCACATGACTATGGAAACATCTTCAGACAACAGGGGTGTCAAACTCAAAGTCCACGGGCCGCATCTGGGCCGCAAGGTGCTTAGATCTGGCCTGCAGGGCCGCACTGGAAACAGCGAAGAACCAGCCTGCAATGCCTCTGCCAGCAAAAACGGAGCTGTCACAGCCAAAACCGAAGCTCAAGAAGGCAGCGGGCGGCACTCCCAACTCCGTTTTCTCTGGCAGAGGGCAGCAGGAAGCCGTCGCAGCTGAAATGGAACTCGGGAGCCCATATTCGCTGGCAAAGCTCTCGGGTCATCACAGGCGCCCCCGACATGAGTGACATCGAGCTGGCCATGCCCATCCTGGCCCCCCCAAGGTCAAACACAACCCTGATGCGGCCCTCAATGAAATCGAGTTTGACATCCCTGCTGTAGGGAATGCCAGCTGTGGACTAGACTATGAAAACAATAAAACAGCACGCCACCACCACAATATTGCCAAAATATCTTCACTGATTTAAGCAAGAATTAATGAAAAGTTGATTAAGGAAATAATGCATTTCGGAAAATAGTTCATCAACTTTTTTTTCCCATTATCAAAACACTGGAAATTATCTACAGGAGAGTGTACATAGCTCAATAGCAAATATCAGGCTGCGGAGAGAAAATTACACTTTTTATGAAGTTTTGCTGTACTTCAGAAAAGAGAATGAACACAGTCAAATGAATTAAACATGTAGAAAAGAGTTAAACTAATCAATCAGCAGCTAATGACCTTAGGATAGTATTTTTATTCAGAAATTTTATTCTGCTTATTTGAGAATTAATACTGAGAAGTACATACATGACTGTACCATCGAAGAAAAATAAATTTAAAACGAGTTTATCTGTGTTCAGTTCAAAATTATAAAATTAGCCTAATGAATCACACTGCAGATGAATGAGATAGGAGAGTGGTTCCCATGCTTCTAAATATATGCTTGAATATATATATTTTAATTACTTAAATGTACTTGGGCTGTGCCTGTCAAGAATGAAGCAAATATAATGCATGGGTGGGAGGAGAAGCATTTACAGTACTCAATCATACAAGCAATATATACAAAAGGACGAAATCGCTTGACACCCCAATTTTAAGTGAAAAAGTCTTGCTTTGTTCCTTTAAGCTACCACAATCAAATGACATCATGCATCCTTAATATAATCTCCTATTCTATTATCTAATTTTGGTGCTAATGAACACATCCACCCTGACTCACCATAATAGAAAAATAATTTAAATGTACCCTATTATTTGTGTGTGTGAGACTGCATATAGAAAGCAATATACAAATAAATATAAGGTGAAAGAGAATTGGGAGAGAATTCAAGGCTGAGAGAAAAAGGCATTCAAAGTCACTATGATCTCATTTTTTTTCAAAATTGGCAATTTTAAGACCATTAAAACTTCAACTCCCAGAACTGACAAACACTGATCTAATTCAGTCCAGCCCAACCCAACCCACCCCGTTGTCCAACCAGAGTTAGACCATACAAACCTCACCAGTTCTAAAAATCTGTGTTCGAATTTACCATCACACACACATATGAGATAATGGAATGAGAAAAGGCGCAACCCGCCCATTCCACACCCCAGTGTAGAAATAGGCTGATTCAAGGCATCACCCAACCCAACTGTGTCTTTTCCCAGTTAACCAGTGTGTCAAGGCCCAGCAAGGAAGCTCCCCAAACCATCTTTCCTGCTCTCCTTAAGCACGTGCAAAGAAGGGAAAGGCTGTGGGGAGATTCCTTATGGAAGACCCTTGTAGGGAGATTCCCAGCTTTGGGGATCCTTGCTCCCCACAGGGATACCTAGAGTTAGCCAGGCTTTGAGGGTACACCAATATTTGGGGCAGGAGGATCCTTCCTTCCTTCCTCCCTCTATTCATCTCATTCCTTCTATCCATGTCCTTCTTCCCTTCCTCTATTCATTTCCTTCCTTCCTTCCTTCCTTCCTTCTCCTATTTATCGCCTTCCTTTTATACCTGTCCTTCCTTCCTTCATCTATTCATCTCCTTCTACCCATGTCCATCATTCCTTCCTTCCTTTCCTTCCTTCCTCTATTCATCTCCTTCCTTCCTTCATCTCCTTCCTTCTATCCATGTCCCTCCTTCCTTCCTTCGTTCCTTCATTCCTTCCTCTATTCATCTCCTTCCTTCTATCCATGTCCCTCCTTCCTTCCTTCCTCTATTCATCTCCTTCCTTCCTTCCTTCCTCTATTCATCTCCTTTCTTCCTTCTATGTCCCTCCTTCCTTCGTCCTTCCTTCTTTTCTTCGTCTATTCATCTCCTTCCTTCTCTCCATGTCCCTCCTTCCTTCCTTTACTTTTTTCGTCTATTCATCTCCTTCTTTCTACCCATATCTGTCTGTCCTTTCTTTCTTCTCTCCTTCCTTCCATCCTTCCTCTATTCATCTTCCTATCCATGTCCCTCCCTACTTCCTTCCTTCCTCTATTCATCTCCTTCCTTGTCCCTCCTTCCTTCCCTCTCCTTCCTGTCCTTCCTTCTTCCTCTAGTCATCTCCTTCCTTCTATCCATGTCCCTCCTTCCTTCCTTCCTCTATTCATCTCCTTCCTTCTGTCCCTCCTTCCTTCCCTCGTCCTTCATCCTTCCTTCCTTTCTTCGTCTATTCATCTCCTTCCTTCTATCCATGTCCTTCCTTTCTTCCTTTCCTTTCTTTCTACCAATGTCTGTCTGTCCTTTCTTCCTTCTCTCCTTCCTTCCTTCCATCCTTCCTCTATTCCTCTCCTTCCATGTCCCTCCTTCCTTCCTTCGTCTATTCATCTCCTTCCTTCTCTCCATGTCCCTCCTTCCTTCCTTTTCTTTCATCTATTCATTTCCTCCTTTCTACCCATGTCTGTCCTTTCTTCCTTCTTTCCTTCCTTCCTCTATTCAACTCCTTCCTTCTGTCCCTCCTTCCTTCCTCCTTCCTCCCTTCCTTTCCTCTATTCATCTCCTTCCTTCTATCCATGTCCTTCCTTCCTTTCTTTCCTTTCTTTTTACCAATGTCTGTCTGTCCTTCCTTCCTTCCTATCTCTATTCATCTCCTTCCTTCTCTCCATGTCCCTCCTTCCTTCCTTTTCTTTCTTCGTCTATTCATCTCCTCCTTTCTACCCATGTCTGTCCTTTCTTCCTTCTTTCCTTCCTTCCTTCCTCTATTCAACTCCTTCCTTCTGTCCCTCCTTCCTTCATCCTTCCTTCCTTCCTTCCGTCTATTCATCTCCTTCCCTCTATCCATGTCCTTCCTTCCTTCCTTTCCTTTCTTTCTACCAATGTCTGTCCTTCCTTCCTTCCCTTCCCTTCCCTTCCTTCCCGGTTCAGGTGTGGCGGCCTCCCTCCCCGCAGCGCTGACGCCCCAGCCGCCCCAAAGCCACCCTTGCCCCCCGCTCTCCTCCTCCCCTCACCAGCCCGTCTCGTCCTCTTCGCAGCCGGCCAGCCGCTCCAGCTCGTCGGGCCTCAGCGGCTCCACCTCGTCTAGCAGGCCGCTCTTCTCGGCGGTCCCCCGCGCCGCCTCGGCACCTCGCTCGTCGTCCGGGGGAGGCCGGCGCGTCGGCCCGGCCTTGGAGTTGAGGCCGCGGCTCTCCAGCCCCAGGGGCGACGGCGAAGGGGACGGCGAGGGCTGGGCGGCGGGAGGCGTCAAGAGCAGCGGCGGCGTGCAGGCGCCCGACCCTCCTCCGCCGCTGAGGAGCCTCTTGGGGCTGCCGCCGGGCGCCCCGGCCGCGCTGCGGATGCGGAGCTGCTCGTTCTGCTTCTCCAGCTTCTTCACCAGCTCCTGCAGCTTCCTCACTTCGGCGTCGGCGTTCACGTTGGAGTTGATGTCCTCCATGGCGCCGCCGCCGCCGCCGCCGCCGCCTCTGGCCTCTTGTCAGGCGGCGCCTGCCGCTCCTCAAGAGGCCGAGGCCGCCCGCTTGCTTGCCGAGGCCGACGGGCCCCCCCTACACGGCCGGGCGGGGAAGCGCAGCCTCGCCGCTTTCCCGCCTCCGCCTCGTCGGTTGGCGGCGCCGGGCCCGCCTCAGCTGCGGCCCCGCGCGGCGGAGGGAACCGACACGTAGATCCGGCCGCCGCGGGCCTGGCTGAACCCCCGGCCGGACAATCGGGAGGTGGAGCGTTTTCTCCCTGGAAACCCTCCCCGCGAGGGCGGCCTCCGTGGCTGGGCAGGCGCGCCGGCCTCGGGTTGATGGTGGCCGGGCTTTTTTTTCCCCCGTGAGGGAGGAAAAAAATTGTCTTGTCCCTCTGAAAAGAACCGGCAGACAGCCATCAGGATAGGCACGAAAGGTCCTTTCTTTCCCCCCCACCCCAGAGGCGGTGGGGAATCTTTGAGAGGTTTATGACCCGCTTTGTGACCAAGTGGTCCTCGACTTACAACAGTCCCTTTTTAGTGACCGCTCGAAGTTAACAATGGCAACAGCCGCAAGGATTGTCTATGCACAAAATTGGAAAGCAGAGAAAATAACCTTTGGAGAAAGAAGTAGTAATAAAAAAAAAATTTTTTTTTTAAATAGCGCAGAAATGAACGGATTAACTTTGATGATTAAGGATAGAGAATATTTTAAAATGTGGAGTTATTTTTATTATTGAGATAGTGCAAAAATGAACGGATTAACTTTGATGATTAAGGATAGAGAAGGCTCAGAATATTTTAAAATGTGGAATTATTTTTATTATTGGTTGGAGAAGAGGTATAAATGATTAATTATGTAAGTATGTATAAATAAATACCTGATGAGTAGAATATTACCTTAGCGATGAATTGATACTGTGGATTGGATAAGGATCGAGATAGAAGAAATAATACATATACAGAAGAAGAAAGAAATTTTGGAAGATAACACCGAGAAGATGTCACAGGGAAGAGATAACTGATGTATTAAATGTCTAAAAAATAAAAAACTTTTTTAAAAAAAAATAAGTTAACAATGGCAACAGCTGCAAGGATTGTCTGCACAAAATTGGAAAGCAGAGAAAATACCTTTGGAAGAAGAAGTAATTAAAAAAAATTAGATAGCGCAGAAATGAACGGATTAACTTTGATGATTAAGGATAGAGAAGACTCGGAATATTTTAAAATATGGAATTATTTTTATTATTGGTTGGAGAAGAGATATAAATGATTAATTATATAAGTATGTATAAATAAATACCTGATGAGTAGCAATGATACTGTGGATTGGATAAGGATCGAGATAGAAGAAATAATACATATACAGAAGAAGAAAGAAATTTTGGAAGATAACAGAGAAGATGTCACAGGGAAGAGATAACTGATGTATTAAATGTTTGTCTAAAAAAATAAAAAACTTGAAAAAAGTTAACAATGGCGCTGAATAAAAGTGACTTATGACCATTGATCACCTTTGTAGCCTCCCTACGAGATCATGTGATCAGAATTCAGATGCTTGACAACTTGGGTTCATATTTATGACGGCGGCAGTGTCCCAACATCCTGTGATCCCCCTTTTGTGACCGTCTGACGGTCAATCTGACGCCCCAATGGGGAAGCCAGGTTCGCTTAACAACCAGGTGACTAATTTGTCGATCGCAGTGATTCACTTAACAACTGCGGCCAGAAAGGTCGTAAAGTGGGGCAAAACTCACTTAACAAACATCTCACGTAGCAACAGGAATGTTGAGCTCTATTGCGGTCGTAAATCGACAGCTACCTGTGGTTTGGCTTGAGATTGAAGACAGGCTGGGAGAACTTGCTCTGGGGAAAAGCTGGGTTACCATGCGGTGTTTCGTGGGTAGGAGAATCCCCATTGCTGCAAATTCAGTGTCTCATCCCAGTGCAAAGCTTAGTTTAGGCTGATTTCAGATATCATGCATTTTAAATGTGTGTAATTTACTTCTGTCCTCCTTGTTTAGAAATAATTCCTGATAATTTATAATATACTGATTCCTTGTAACTTTTCACTTATTTTCAGTAGGTATTAATAGAAGTGAGAGGAGGTGCATCTGAGAATATTCCAAGAACTTTCTGTTATAAAACAATCATGGTTTGGTACATTGAAAAATCCTTCAAGGCTATACAGAGGAAATTTCATCCCATGGTTTTTTTTTCTGTTATGCCATTTTTTATTTTATTTTTTTGTATATATTAAAGAAGTCACAAGATTATATTCTATTTAATATAGCCATAAGGATGACCAGTTTATAAAGTACAGGTAGTCCTTGACTTAAAACAGTTCATTAAGTGACTATTTGAAGTTACAATGGCACTAAAAAAAGTGATTTATGACCGTTTTTCACCCTTATGGCCGTTGCAGCATCCTCATAGTCACGTGATCAAAATTCTAGACAAGAACAGTTTTTTTTCCGAACGCTATCACTCTGCTAAACAAATAATTCCCTCAACGCTGTCAAACTACTTACTAAGTCTGCACTACTATTAATCTCATCGTTCCCATCATCCATCTCCTCCCACTTATGATTGTATGACTGTAACTTGTTGCTGATATCCTGAAGATTTATATTGACTGTTTCCTAATATGATTTGATTGCTTATTTGTACCCTATGACTATCATTCAGTGTTGTACCTTATGGTTTTTGATGAGTATATCTTGTCTTTTTATGTACACTGAGAGCGTATTGACCAGGACAAAATCCTTGTGTGTCCAATCACACTTGGCCAATAAAGAGTTCTGTTCTGTTCTGTTCTGTTCTGTTCTGTTCTGTTCTATTCTATTCTGATGCTTGGCAAATGGTTCATACTTATGACGGTTGCAGTGTCCTGGGTCATGCGATCCCCTTTTGCGATCACCTAACAAGCCAAGTCAATGGGGAAGTCAGATTCACTTAACAACCGTGTTATTAACTTAAAAACTGCAATGATTCACTTAACAGCTGTGACGAGAAAAGTCGTAAATTGTCTCACTTAGCAACAGAAATGTTGGGCTCAATTGTGGCCGTAAGTCGAGAACTACCTGTAACCAATAGAATTTCTTTAAAAATGGCACGTTATAGGCCTCCCCGGGCCTAAGGTTCTAAGTTTCTGAGAGAAGTTGCCCAATCCAAATTATTCATTATTCTAACCAATTTGGTTGGACTGCTTATTATGGTATCTTCATTTATGATCAAGATCTGACAGCATGTGAGCATAAATAATTGCCCTTTATTATCAAGGCAAGGGGAGCAATCATACCTACGTTTAATGTGGGTAGAATCCAAACTCCATAGGTAAGTAATACCTTTCATGCCCAGAGGTAGAATCCAGTGATTATTGCTACTTGTTGTTGGGGTGAAACGCCTCCATCAGGTTAAAGCCATGCAAAAAAATACATAAATCCTAGATATTTTGTTTTGCTGTTAGGAATTGAAATCCCTATTTGAGTCCGACGTCTGGGCTGAATTCAGGGCAGTGGTGAAATCCAACTTTTTTTACTACTGGTTCTGTGGGCGTGGCTTGGTGGGCATGGCAGGGGAAAATCTGCAAAAAATCTGCAAAATCTCCATTCCCACCCCATTCCAGGGGAAGGATACTGCAAAATTCCCATTCCCTCCCTACTCCTGGGGGAAGGATACTGCAAAATCTCCATTCCCACCCCACTCCTGGGGGAAGGATACTGCAAAATCTCCATTTCCACCCAACTCGGGGGCCAGCCAGAGGTGGTATTTGCCGGTTCTCCAAACTATTCAAATTTTCCGCTACCGGTTCTCCAGAACCTGTTAGAACCTGCTGGATTTCACCCTGATTCGGGGGTGGGGGGGGTGAATTAGCTAATAGGGTTCAAGGCTAATTTTTTTTTAAAAGTTTGGTAATAACATGTTTCAGTGACGTGCTGAGCCATCTGTCTCTGGTACAAAATATAGCTAACCTAATGAAACAGACCATAGGCTGGGGAGCAGCTTTCTTGGCTGGTATCCCAGTCCCATTTGCAGTAGCTGGCTGGAAGAAATGTTGAATTGAGACCAAAACCAGAACAAGTTTGACGAGAATAAGAGCCAGATGCAGATGGGTAGATCTAGAGAAACAAAGTTCACATTTTAAAAAGCTGCAGCTTTTGTGGAGATCCAAGAGTGAAACAAGATGTCTCGTTTCTGGCGAACGGAGACTAACCACTTTTTAAAAACCTTGTCATAAAATTGTGGGGACTAATCTAGATAATCATCAGGAGTCAACACTAGGATTCAAAATGGGGGGGGGGAGAGAAAGAAGAGAAAGAGCCCTTCCCTATCTTATCATACCTGCTACAGGTAGTCCTTGACTTACAACATTTTGTTCAAAGTTGCAGCAACACTGAAAAAATGTGACTTATGACCATTTTTCGCACTTACATCCTTTGTAGCATCTCTGAGCTACTTCCCTCCCCACTCCTGGGGGAAGGATATTGCAAAATCTCCATTCCCATCCACTCCAGGGAAAGGATACTGCAAAACCTCCATTCCCACCCCACTCCATTCCCACCCCACTCTAGGGCCAGCCAGAGGTGGTATTTGCCGGTTCTCCGAACTGTTCAAAATTTCCGCTACCAGTTCTCCAGAACCTGTTGGATTTCACCCCTCTACTGTTGTAGAATGAAGAGACCAAACAACATCCCTGGGTCAGCCAGAGACAGTTTTTATTGCGCAAGGTTCAGAGGCAGATTGGTTCTTGCTATCTGAACAAAGGAAAGAGATCTAATACCCGTTTTATACTTTTCCAAGACAAAGGATTTTGCTAGCACAGCAGTTTTCCATATATGGTTAACATACATCCGTTACATGATAATTGACATTTCCTAATTACTAAATTCCTGCCCTAATTTATAGTACATGAGATAATTTTAGCTAATCATCCTCCTTAGTTCTGTATCCGCTGATGCGTAGATTTATGGCTTCCTTTAACTTCTGGTTCCATATGGATGTCCTTACATTCTTGACAGCTAGGTT